CTGGTCTGTGTGTCCGTGCGAAAGCGGCCGCTTCGTCCTCAGAGAGAACCACGCGTCTGGAACATGGCGCCCCTGAGGGAGATGCTAGCTGGGGCGCTCTGGGTAGCTCCTTAGGGTAAGGAGAGACAGACAGACGGACACTGGGCGGTCTCCGGTGTGACCAGGAGGTCACAGCTCAACCCCAGTCAGAGCACGTGCCCGGGTTTCGGGCTCGATCCCCAGCAGGGGGCGTGCCGGAGGCAGAAGGCTGCTCTGAAGACAGGAATATCGCTGGGTCCCGAGGAGGCGCTGTCCAAACCCCTGTAGGTTCACCTATTCATCAAGGAGCAGTGGTCAGCAAACTCATCCGTCCACAGAGCCCAATATCAACAGGACAACGATGGAAATTGCTTTTGAGCCAAATTTTTTAAACGTAAACTTATTCTAACGCCACTTCTTCAACATAGACTCGCCCAGGCCAAAAACTGAATTCTACGCATGGGCCGTGAAGTTTCTTTTTCTTTTTCTTTTTTTTAAATATATTTTATTGATTTTTTTACAGAGAGGAAGGGAGAGAGATAGAGAGCTAGAAACGTCGATGAGGGAGAAACATCGACCAGCTGCCTCTTGCACACCCCGCTGGGGATGTGCCCGCAACCAAGGTACATGCCCCTGACCGGAATCGAACCCGGGACCTTTCAGTCCGCAGACCGACGCTCTACCACTGAGCCAAACCGGTTTCGGCAGGCCGCAAAGTTTCAATTGCACGTGGTATTTTATGGAAGAGCCACACTCAAGGGGCCAAAGAGCCGCATGTGGCTGGAGAGCCGCAGTTTGCCGACCACTGACTTAGCACAACACCCTCCCGACTCCCCCATGTGGTGCGTGTGTGGGGATGTCCTTCCTCTTGAAGGCGAACAATACCCACGGCACCTGTAAGGCCACGTTCACTTATCCCTTCACCTGCGTGGGCACTCGGGCGTCTCCACGTGTTGGCTGTTGTGAGCAGCGCGGCTTTGAAAATGAGTGCACGGATCCGCTCCAGTCCTCGCGAGCGGAAGTCTGGACCCTCTGGTCTCTCTGTGTTTAACGTGCGGAGGGGCCTCATGTTGCTTTCCGCCCACGGCTCCGCCTGCTCCTCCTCCTCCTCGCCTGCGCGTACCCTCCTGCCCCTCTCGCTCTGCTGCTTCCTCCCCGCAGCAGGGACACCTGTTCCCCCCCAGCACCTGCTCATCATGCTGCACGCACCCCCCCCCCCCCACACACACACCCAGGGAGCGGGCCTTGCACAGCGGGGTCCCCAGCACTTAGAACACACCGGGCACAGAGACAACCCTCAATGGAATCAACACCTAGACCCATGGTCGGCAAACCGGGGCTGGCGAGCCATGTGGCTCTTCCACACAACACCACGTGCGGGTGCGCACATACAGTGCGATTGAAACTTTGTGGCCCATGCACAGAAGTCGGTTTTCGGCCTGGGGAGGCTATTTTGAAGAAGTGGCGTTAGAAGAAGTTTAAAGTTTAAAACATTTGGCTCTCAAATGTCAATCGTGCTGTTGATATTTGGCTCTGTGGGAAAATGAGTTTGCCGACCGCTGGCCTAGATTGTGACCACTCTATAACAGGTATTAGGATTTCTTGAATAGACTGATCGCGCCCAATGCCTCCGCCCTGTCCAGCTCAGGCAAGAACCCGGGCAACCTGGCTCCCTCCGCGATGCGGCTCAGCAGGCCACGCGCTCCGTGTTTCTCTCCGGCTCACCAGCGTTCACCTCGGAGCCACAGACGCTCTGACGATCGGCAGGAAGAATAAAAGTCGTGTCCTGTCTCAGACTTCAACCCTTCCTCTGCTGACTTCACCGAAAGAGCCGACTCCACACACCAAAGGGAGCGGAGAAGTCGCAGGCCCTTCCAGCGCCTGAGAGCCTGTGAGCCATGTGTTCTGTGTTAGGAGATCAAACCGGCAGCAAACGAGACGGGACAGTGGCTTTTGTGCAGGCCCCTTAATGAGGGGGCCCGGGGCAGCGTGACCCAGAAACCCAACGCCAGGCCTACTGCTATTCCCTGCGGGGTGCTTTTCTGCTGTGCCCATGAGGTGTGTGCTGTTTCACATCGGTTTGCTGTTTTGTTGTTGTTAATCTTCACTCGAGGATTTTTTAAAATATATTTTATTAATTTTTTACAGAGAGGAAGGGAGAGGGATAGAAAGCTAGCTGCCTCCTGCACACACCCTACTGGGGATGTGCGTGCAACCAATATACATGCCCTTGACGGGAATCGAACCTGGGACCCTTCAGTCGGCAGGCCAACACTCTAATCACTGAGCTAAACCGGTTTCTGCCTGAGGATGTTTTTTAAATGGATTTTATTCTTTTTTTTTCTTTTCTTTTCTTTTTGGAGAATGGGAGGGAGGGGGAGAGACAGAGAGAGAGAGAAACATTGATGTGAGAGAGACACACTGATTGGTTGCCCTCGGCCGACTGGGGCTGGGGGTCAAGCCTGCCACCAAGATAGGTGCCCCAGACTGGTATCGAACCTACGAACCTTCAGTCAGAGGGCTGACACCCTAACTACTGAGCCAAACCGGCCAGGGCCGCATTGGCTTGCTTTTTAAGAGCTGCTCCTAAAGAAATCAGACCGTTTTCATGAGATCATTATAAATGAGCAAAAAAGCCATTCCGTCTTTTTCTCTGAAAGTCGGCTGGTTATGTGCCACTGGATTAGAAATTTCTCTCCTCTCTCTGTCTCACTTTCCTTCCCTCGTCTTCCTCCTTGGAGGATATTTTGAGGAACAAGGCACCCGACGTGCCTGGAGTTCACCTACTTCTCTCAGCAGCCAACCCCAGCTCCTGCCCCGACAGAGAAGACGCCCGCTCCCCGCCGAGGGACCCCTTTGCTGAAACGGGCAGCATCCTGTGGGCGCCAGCAGCGTCCTGGGCTCCGAGCAAGGCCAGGAGCAGTTCATTCAGAGCGTGACGCGCTCTCCCCACCCGACAGGCAGTCCTGCTCGGGGACTGCTCTGATGTGAATTATTCACAGAGCAGCCTGTGCTTTTAACACACGCGCAGAAGAAAGAAAAAAGGGTTCTGCTCAACCAGCCTAAGAGCAGACTGCAAGGAACATGAAAAGATTTTGTTCCTTTTGAGTGTCAACCTAGGAACCGGGTCGTCACGGTTCGATTCCCGGGCAGGCACAGGCCCAGGTTGCAGGCTCCATCCCCAGTGCGGGGAGAGCAGGAGACAGCCGATCAATGATTCTCTCTCATCATCTCATCGATGTTTCTGTCTCTCTACCTTCTGTCTGAAATCAATAATGTGTGTGTGCGTGTGCATGAATACATAGATATATTTAAACAAAAAAAGGTTTCCTATTCAGATAGGGACATGCCCGACTCCTTCCACCGGCTCCAAGGCCTGGATGGAGCCGATCAAGGTGGCGCTCCGGCAGGAGATGCCCCTGAGGCCGGGCTCAGACAACGTTCCCCAGGGTCCGGCTTCCTTTCCTCTCGTCCAGGCTGCCAGCACTCAGCTTCCCAAAGCGCCCCACACCCCTCCTCCAACGCCACCCTCTGCCGTCCCCACACCTGCGGCCACACCATCTCCTTCCTCCATCAGGGCACGGTGCCCATTCCCCCTGGGGGGCACAGAAGCAAGACTTGTTTCAGCAACAGCAATAACTTCATGGCGACTCCAAGCTTCTCCCTCCCGGCCCCCAACCGGGGTGGCCGTTAGGGCACAGGACAGCCGCCGCCTGCGGTTACGGTTATACCTGCCTCCCACACAATTCCACTCTCCGTGCCTCAGGTTCTCCACCTGTACCTGCACCCTGGGTTCTGTGACAGCCGGTCTGGGCCCGGCTGACTCGTACTTCACATGTGGGCACTGGGGTAGCAGCCAGCTGCAGGGGACTTGGGCCGGTCGCACGGGGTCTGCAGCTCATGTGGGGGCAGCGGGCGAGCTGACCCAGGCCTGGCCTCTGAGTGCCCTTGGAGCTCCCCGAAGGAACAGCCCTCACACATCCGAATGCTCCGCACCCGCGCCCCAGGATCTTATCAGCAGGAAACAAGAGCCCTGGACGACCATAATGAAGTGTCTGGCTTTTCTTTTCTAATTAGCAAAGCCCCAAGATTGTAGCCCAGGGAACAGCTAAATATTTAGAAAGTTAAAGAAGTTACTAAGTCCCAGCACACACCACTCCTGCCCCCCCCTTACCCTGCGGTTCACCCCGCTCCTGAGCATTTCACAAGGAAAAACTTGGACTGCAGCAATGGGGACCCGTGAAAACCTTTCTTGAAGTGCAGCCTGGCCATTTCAGGGGGTGGGGAGGGAGGTTTAGGAGCTGCTTGTTTACAGATAAAGGCGGCCCCCAGCTCCTACCCCACAGGCCCCTCACAGGGGGACCCTCAGATCCTGGACGTGCAGAGAGAGGGTTCATGCCCCAGGCTGGATGCCATCACCTCCTGCTTCAAGAACTAACTTCCCTTTTTTAAAGTTCTACCTCCTTCCATGCGGCGGCCGCCACTTTCAGTTCATGCAGTCCGGCCGCCCCTAACTGAGCACACGTTCACGGCGAGAAAAAAAGAAAGTGACTATTTTTGAACGAGAGGAGCCGTTCCTTTTTGCTTCCACGTCTTGGCAGCCTGAGGCACTGCATCCCTCAGGATTTAAGTCATCAGCACGCTGCCTGGCAAGTTGCATTCCCAGGCCACCAACGGACGGACAGACGCCCCTTCTATGCCCTCGGCCTACCCCTCCCCAGGATGGCCTTTGCCCTCCTCTCCTGGGCCTGCAGGCTGCTTCCATTCTGGGCCACGGCCAGAAGCTGGGGGCAGCCTGGCCCCCGGGAACCACCTGCGCCCCAAGCCCTCCCCAGGGCCAGGTCACGCCGTGGAGCTGGAGCCGCCTCCGAGTTTCCTTCTCCCTCCCCACCCCACCTCCACGGCTCCGTGGAGGGGACGGCAGGCGGGTGAGGCCGAGGCCCAGACGCATCATTGCCCGCAGCTTTCAGGCTCCCACTCACCTGACGCGGGTCAGGCACTCCGCCGCACAACACGTCCCGCCCGGGTGCGAGTCCGGCCGAGGTCAGCTCCTGGGGCTGAGAGAGAAGACTGCGTGAGACACAGCGGGGGTCCCTGGGGAGAAGCTCCACGTCCCCCTTCCACCTTCTGTAACCTCCTTCCTGAGACACCCCCCCCCCCAGTTGACAGGCCGGTGGGTGGGATCACGTGAGCCAAGAGTCCGGGTAACCTCGGTGCCCACTTCCAGGGTGCAGCCCACAAGCCAGGCTGGGCACCACCAAGCTGGCCCGCGCCGGGGCCGGGACTAAGGGAAGTGTGTGGCGGCTCCCACAGCACCGGGAGGCCGAGGGTCAGAAACCCGCATCCCCACGGGGCTTTGTCCCCACTTCCTCCCTCCCCGCTCCCCGTTTTATACCCCCCAACACACACACATACACACACATACACACACACACACAAGCACGCCTCTCCCAACTGTGCGGCTCAAGCGAGGGTTACGTTTCGAGAAAGATGGTTTCCTTGAGCGGACTCCACATATGACACCCCCACAACCACCGCCCGCCCGCCCCCCCGAAAAACAACCTATTTCCTGCAGCTGCTGCAACAGTTTCCAACTCCGGGGGGATGCCCTTCCAACCCAGACAGGGTCGCCCTCAAAGCGAGTCACTGGGGTCAAAATGTTTATAACCGCAAATGAACACCCCCCACCCCCCCCAAAAAAAAGGTCCGCAGTAAAAGAACCCGCAAATGCCTGCAAGTGCTTGCAAAGCCACCGAGCACTCCCAGAGCGGCGCAAAAACTTGTGCGTCCCGGGGACCGTCCAACTCCCCGCGCCCTCGGCCCGGCCCCAGCCGCTACCTTGCTGCCCGGGAAGCCACGCCGGTCTGGGGGCGCAGGGCGAGGAGCGGGGTCAGCAGCCGCCGGGTGATCCCATGCTCGCGAAGCGGGAGCTCGTTCCGTTAGGATAGAAGCGGAACACCCACACCTCCTCTCGGCGTGGCTTTCTCTCTCCACCCTCTCCCTGCCTCCTCCTCCTCCACCTCCTCCTCCTCCTTCTCTCCTCCCACCCGGCGGCGAGCCTGAGGAAGCGCCTCAGCAGCACAGCCACATGGTTACTGCACTTAGAAGTGGCTCCCCAGAGCCTTATATAGGCCGGGAGGCTCCCTGGGCAATGTAGTCCGAGGCCGGGGTCGCGGAGGCCCCGGGGCGATGGGGCGGACTACAAGCCCCAGAATCCCCGGCGCCGCGGGCGGGGCGGGGCGTCCTGTGGGGCGTCCAGGGTCCGCACTTGGGTCCTCGCCGGAGCCGGCGGGGTTTGGAGCCTGCCACCCGAAGCCAGCCCTGGAGGGCGCCCCCACCCTGTGGGGACCCTCCTCCGGCTGGCCCCTGGCCCGCGCTCCCAGGTGCCGCCGGGAGCGGGCCCCGGAGCGGCTCGGGTTTCTGCTCCGGGAAGTTTTGGCCGCCGGGAGCCCGCCCTCCCCGCACCGGGCGCGCGAGCCAAGAATGTCAGCAATCCAGGGCACAGGAACGCCAGTGTTTGCGGTCGGGGATTAAAGGCGCGAGGTTGTCTCTGTTTAATCAGCTCGGGTTTGCACGGAAAATGAAGTCCGTGCAAAAGGGGGGAGGGGGCGGGGAGAAGGGAGCGGGCTAGCGGCTCCAGGGCGCTTTGGTGAACCCGACCGGCAGGGATGGGACTCTCCTCCCGGCACCAGCAGCGTAGCTGTGCTGTCCCTGGCCAGCGCTGAGATGAGGGTGAAGGGGAGATTGGGGTGCACAAAACAAATACAGACCGCGACCTCGGCCTGACCCTGCTTCCAGCAGCTCCTCTGCTCCCGGGAGCTGTAAATGCTTAAATAAGTAACCGCAAACCAGGGGGAAGGGGGGAGACAAAAAACAAAACACAGGGCTTCGGAGGGAGCGCGGCTGCAGAGGTACGCGGCCAGGCGGGCCAGGGGGTCTCAGCCCTTTGCCAAGAGGGGCCTGGGCTCCGGCTTGGGGAAGGAGGGCAGGGGCCACGGCGCTCCCCGGCAGTCAGCCGGCTGTCCCCCCGCCCCTCAGACGACGTGCATTCATTCCACAAACGTTTCCCTGAATGCCTACTGGGTGCCAGGCGCGGTGCCAGGCGCCGGGGCGTGATGGTGAGCCAAGATACACCCCTGCCTGCGCCACGTGGATCTGCTCTGACAGCCACAGCCCTCATCACAGGCGGGAGGCTGATGCTCCTGAGCCCGGACCGTAGGCACGTCTGTGCGTCAGTGTGGCTGCGTTTTTGCAACCTTTGGGCACAGGCACAGCCGCATTCCCGGTTTGCTGGCCGCACCGCTACGGGCGCAGGGGAACCAGGTGATTTCCCCGGGGCCGGCGCTAAGTAGCGCAGCCTGGATTCCGCTCCCGCCTCCAGGGCAGCGAGTCCTGGTCTTCGGGGAAATCCTGGCGCTTTCAGGAGCAGCCGGAGCCCTGGGCGCCTCATTTTCATCTCTGCCCCAGTTTTGCCATCGGAGGAGAAGAAAACCATGTGAATTCGCCCGCTTTCTACCCGCATGGCCACCGGACGTACAGTCAGCAGTCTGGTAAACGCCAGGAGTGAATTAGGGGAGCAGACTATTACCGACAGAATGCCAAGGTTAATCCTAACAGCTGCCTTTATCAGCTACATGCGGTGTGCCCGGCTCTAATCTAAGCTCTTATGTGCATTAGCTCATCAGATCCTATTAAGGAATCACTTTTTGCTTGGGAAACTGAGGCCCAGAGGCGTTAAGCAACTCCCCTTCCCCAAGTCATACAGGGGGTGGGCTCTCTGACTCCCCAACCCTGGATCTTCACCACCACCGCCACAGCCTTCCGATGTGAGCGTTTGCATCAGATGGGTCTGCTCAGATAGGCGTTTAATGCCCGTCCAGGCATGGGCACTGCTCTGAAGGGGGCGGAGTTTGTGTCTATTGCATGCACTTTGCCCCTCCGCTCTTTCTGCACCGCCTCTGATCACTGGGCTCTCAGGCCTCTGCCCGATGCCTCTCCCCGCCATCAAGAAACCCTCGTCGTGGCAGGCCAGTGTGGCTCAGTGGTTGAGCATCAATCTATGATCCAAGAGGTCACAGTTCCATTCCTGGTCAGGCACATGCCCAGGGTGTGAGCTCCATCCCCAGGATAGGGTGTTCAGGAGGCAGCCCATCAGTGATTCTCATCATTGATGTTTCTATCTCCCTTCATCTCTGAAATAAAAAAAATATATATGTTTTTAAAAATTCCCCCAGCATGAGACAACAAAGGGGTCCCCACCGTCTCCATCCACCCCCTCCCCATGAAAACAAAACATTTCTAAAGGGTTTTTGGCTCTACTTTTCTAATTCCACACGCCAGTCTAGGCTAATATAACTGGTGAAGACTTGAGGGTAATAATTTCATGTGTTTCTAACTTAAAAGCACGATGTAATCTTAACATGGGTTTTCCGAAGGAAGCTGGGTCTTGGAGAGCTGGGTGGGGTGACTTTCCTCCTCAACGTGCAGTGAACGCTGGACCCTTAACTTAAGGTGACCAGACGTCCCGCTTTTGGCGGGACAGTCCTGATTTTTAACAATTTATCCCGCAGCGTTTTAAAAAAAAGTCCCAATTTTTGCCAGGACCGGTTTGGCTCAGTGGATAGAGCGTCGGCCTGCAGACTGAAAGGTCGCAGGTTTGATTCCAGTCAAGGGCATGTACCTTGGTTGCGGGCGCATCCCCAGTAGGGGGTGTGCAAGAGGCAGCTGATCGATGATTCTCTCTCATTGATGTTTCTAACTCTCTATCCCTCTCTCTTCCTCTCTGTGAAAAATCAATAATATATATATATATATATATATATATATATATATATATATATATATATATTGAGTATTTTTAAAAAGTCCCAATTTTTGAAAAGATGTTTTAAAACGCCGCGGGACGCGGGACAAATTGTTAAAAATCGGGACTGTCCCGCCAAAAGCGGGACGCCTGATCACCTTACCTTAACTGCTTTAGCCACAGCCTTCCCTCCCACACAAGGCAGGACCACGCTTTATGCAGGCAGCATATACCCTGCCTCCCCACCCAGCAGCCTCCATCCTCTGCTTGCTCCTCTTACTAGATACGTGGGAAAAGTTTTCAGAAATGTGTGTTAAGCCCTGGCCAGTGTGGCTCAGTTGGTTGAGCTTTATCTCATGCACCAAAAGGTTGCCAATTCTATTCCCTATCAGGGCATATTTATTGATTTTTCTCTATATATTAATGTTTCTCTCACTCCCCTCCCCTCCTCTGTAAAGTCAATAAAAACATTTTTATTTAAAAAAAAAATATATATATATATATATATTGATTTTTTTATGGAGAGGAAGGGAGAGGGATAGAGAGTTAGAAACATCTATGAGAGAGAAACATTGATCAGCTACCTCCTGCACACCTCCTACTGGGGATGTGCCCGCAACCAAGGTACATGCCCTGGACCCGAATCGAACCTGGGACCCTTGAGTCTGCAGGCCGATGCTCTATCCACTGAGCCAAACTGGTTAGGACCATAAAAACACTGTTAAAGTGTTTTAACAGGAGGGCCACGTATACGGCAGGTGAGATGAACATTTTTGAGCACACAAGCCTAGGCCACTTATCTCATAGGCCGTTCCCTCCGCCCGTGTGGGTGAAGGGTTCTGTTCCACTGTAACTGGTCTCAGGTCCGAGCAGCGATGAGGCCACTAGAAAGAAGGTTTGCTCACTTCTCTGTAAACATGAGGGGCTCTCCATGGCGACGTGTGATTGGTGATGAAGTCTGTCCACTCACCCCCATTCCCAGGAGAGGAAGGTGGGTTCCTTCTCCTTCACGCTACTTTTTTCTTTTCTCCTGGAAAAATGTTCTACACCTGTGCTTTCCAGGACACTAGCCACTAGCCATTTAGGGGCTTATGACATAGCTAGTGGTTGGCAAACTCATTAGTCAACAGAGCAGCAAACCGCTGCTCGAGAGCCACAGTTTGCCAACCACTGGCCTAGATCTTCCAATACATCAGTGTCATGAGAGAGAGAGAGAGAGAAAAAGCAGGAGGATTGTCTAGATTTAAAAAGATTAAAGCAACTGTAACTTCCTAAATGTAACGTGTGACCCTTGATTGAATGCTAGGTTGAAAGAAAAATAAAAAACAAATTGATGGAAGACATTTTTCAGCAACTGGAAAAGTTTAAGTCTAGACTATTAAGGAAAACTGTGGAATTAATTATTTTCTTAGGGGTGATAGTGGCTTCATGGTTAGATGTAGGAGAAGGCTCTGATTAGTAGGAGACAAGCCCTAAAGTGATCAGATGTGGAATCTCATTGTGCCTGGGACTCACTCTCAAAAAATGCATGCCTACTTAATATAAAAAATTACTCACACTTACCTCTTTTGTTAAAAAAAAAAATGGTCTAAAATTTTGTCATATAAATAGATATTTCTATGATCATTTCACATTTATGTTGGAAAATTATTTATGCCCTTGAAGGTGAAAGTTGAGTGCAATAAATTATTTAGAAATCTGGCTTTGCAGAAGTTCACTTGGTTTGAGAAGTAGAGTGAGAAGCTGCTATTAGAAAATCTTTGCATTGTGTTTGCTTTCCTTGCTGAAAAAAGGAGGAGGAGGAGGAGGAAGAAAAGGAGGAGGAGGAAGTAGAGGAGGAGGAGGAGGAGAAGAAGAAGAAGAATCTACCCCCAAACCAATATGAGAAAGTAGCTTCTCAGATCAAATTTAACTTTCTAGGGAAAAGCAAAACCAGTAGTTGCTATAACCGGGCGACTTGTGTGAAGGTCTCCAGGTCAGGAGTTGTTGGGATTGTTGCACTAAGTCCCTGGGGATCTTCTCGGTCAGCCAGCAAGGCAGAGGGAACACTGCCTGAGAAAAGGAAGTGGAACAGGAGAGAACCCTCACAGCCTCATCGTCACTTCTCCCCGGAAGAGTGTCCAAGGATCCGTGGACCTGGCCAGGAGAGCAGCACCCAGGTCTGCTGCATTCAGCTGCCAATCAAGCAG